ATTTTAAAAATAATTAGTTAATTAGTTAACTAATCGGGTTTAATTTAAATCACATAGCCCAAGAGCCCCAAGGCCCAAGGCCTACCTTTTGATGATTTAAATGTATATTATTCAACAATTGACCCAAAGGCCATACCCACAAGCCACTCAATTGGGCCACTTGAATGGCCAATCCAAACTAGTCTACTTGCAAGGGTATGTCTTATAAAAACCTCCAATGAACTCTAGTGTTCCAATGTGGGACTAATTTCAACTCAAACATGTGATTGATGAGAGTTCACCATACGAACTGGGTTTCTGTGATTGTGTATTGCGATGCAGGTGACATTGTGGCACTGGTTTATGAGTAAGTGGCCAATGGAAATTTGTAACACCATATATTTTCTGTAGGTACAATACTCTTAGATATTAATATTAATATTAATATATTTTGGACTTAATTGTTGCAACCCGAGTTGAATTTTCGTCCATGATATCCAAAAATAGCTACAACCATCCTCTAATTAGTCTCGAATTGCATGACTGGTATAGTTGCTCCTTTTTCTCTTTAATTTTAAAGAAATACAATATAATTTTTAATATTTAGTTTTGGTATAATTGTAAACGTGGTTGGATGTACAAAGTGAATTCCTGGATCATGAAAAATTGAGTGTCTAAGAAGTAGTTACAATTAAATTTTTGGTTTTCATAACAATAAAAGTTTGGGTCTCCTTAACTAGTCCTTACAATTAAATTTTCTAGTCATCATTACCATTTGTCTCACATATACTGGACTTCCGGTGCCAAATTTTAACAATAGACATGAACAGTCATGTGGTGGGGAAAGTATATGTTTCGTTTATTTTCTCTCGTTTGTTTCCTCTGTAAATTGCATTATTACGGATAATACACTCTTGGACGTGTGCAGAGATATAACTAAAAAGGTTTTCACTTGGAAAGAGAGACTTCAAATTGCTATAGACCCCGCAGGCGGTAAAATACTAGTAGTTGTATGAATAGTAATGATACAGTGTGTGTGAAGAAGAAAGTAAAGCTTGGCTCCTTAAAACTAAGAGGAGCTCCTCCTCTCCACCGATGATTTAAAAAACAGTTTAGATTCAGAATCACGATAAAAAGACACAAAATAACATGGCTACTGATATTTTCAAGACTGGATTACCTTCACACTGGTTGCAAGCTGCCGATTGTACACAGAGACCTAGAGACCTAGGAGCTAATCACCGGCAGGCCAGCAATAATAAAAGAAGATGATGAACGCATTAATTTATCTGATTGGGCGACAACTAAACTTCACACAGAGAATATTGATATAGAAAGCATAGTTGATTCAAGGATACAGAGGACCCACACCTAGGCTTCTGTGTGTGAAAAAGTCATCCAAAGGTGTATGCTCACCACTCTTCTCAACACTTGACACGTGTCCATAAGCATAACCATAATTACATAAATCAAAGTAAAAAGTTAACCATGGTTATGCCTATGAACACTTATCAAGTATTAAAAAGAGTGATGAGCAAAAATATTTATGTGATGATGTTACACATAAATTTCTGATTATGGCATTAATTATTAGAATGATTATTTCATCTCATGAGATCTACTTGTTTTTATATGAGAAAACCCATGGACTTAGGCTTGATTGCTTATCAACTTCTTAGATGCACGAAACTTGCTTCCTCGTTTTACGGTCACCGTGGTCCATCGGTCCTAGAACTGCCAAGCAAAACAGAAGAGTTTTGGAGTTGGCCATCAGCCAATTAGCTTTCTTTGCCGTTTATTTTCAACCTGTGGCTCTTGGTCTTCCTCCAATTTCCTCCTCAAGTTTCTTAGATCTTCTGCGCTCACCATGCCACTCATCTTCTGGTTCAATGCATATGCTTCAGCCATTCTCCTCCTGCAATCTTTGCTTGCAGAATCGTGGGCAACCACTGAAATGGAATAGGTGGAAAGTAAGTAAACAAAGTATTACAATGGCAACTAGAGACTGTGTGTTTCTAAACTGATTCAAACTTCAGAGCTCAGCACTGTCTTTCACTTATTAGGCCTCTAATATCACCCCACAACCATAAGAATAAAATCTCAGCAAGAGTTGCAGCATGACATTGCATCAGTGGTCGGTTCCCAACACCAAAATTTCACCTTTCATCCCCCAAACATCACAGAATACTACTCACTCCGCATTCGTTCCCAGAAAGGAAAAAATATAGTACTATTTGAACTGCAGTAGAGCATCGTACACATAACGCATATACACAAATGCACAAAAGCATGTACACAGACACATTACTCTGCATAACAGAGTAAGACAGACATGTTCCGGGAGTCCATAGTTTAGACATAACCTGTCATATTGACCTCTAGTTTAAGTACTGATCATAACACATAACAGAAGGTTAACAAATACAGACAGAACTGACCTGGCTTTGGATAATCTCTTCCAATTATGCACTTTGCCTTGTTTTGAATGCTTAGAGGAGCCGTCCATGGCTCATAAATGTACTCCTTTGGCATACCTGCTAAACCAAATTTGGTTATACATTTCATGCAAGAGGGTGAACCCAGCACAAAGAATATGATAGAAATGAGGGGAACATAAGCCTACCTTTAAGTACAGGGAGAAAATGTCTAATGTAATCACCATTTGGGTCGTACTTCTTTCCAAACGAGATTGGGGAGTAGATACGGTTATACTGGTTAGAATGGAAATCATTCAAATATAAAAATCTTCATCAAGGGGTCACTTAACGTCACTGCAAAAGCATAAATATTCAGATTCGAATATCATGAATCTGAGCACCCAGATCACACAAAGAAACTTACTTCATTAGCTGTGAGAAAGACCAAATTGTAAACCATAATTTATGCCCTTATAAACATTTATATATTAATTAAATAAAAAAATAATTCACATTTAATGTTAAGAAGAAAGCTAGCCATAAGAATCCCAACTCATTTATCCAAATAAAACAAAAATCATCATGATTAGCGTATTGTTATAGATCCATGTTGAAGTCAACAGGGATTGCCAATCATATATCAATCAAGTGCCAAATTGGAAGAACCTATTTGTGGCTTTGACGCTGAGATGCCACTGATATGCAAATCTATGAGAACTAACAAATGACTAGTGGTAGAAGCTTCACACCTGGTAGAAAAATGATGAGCACGATAGCCACAGCCAGTTTCCATTATTAATTGCCCAATCTGAATCAATCAGAAGCCTCTCAAAAACATCACGCCCTTTTTCCCAGTGAACAAACTATCAGCAGAAATAATGCATTAGGAAAGAACAATATTAGGAAACTGAAGAAAAAGTTGCTGGTACGGAAAAGTAGCGAAATCCTTACCAGATCACCACGAGTTAAAAAACATGCAACAGAGTGTCGTGCTAGATGGTGCATCCAACCCCACTTGCGGAGCTACAACAGATAACATGTATGGGCTTCAAATTGAATGCTAAAGTGAAGATGATATTGAATATAAAGTGCCTGGCTTGATTGGAACCGCATGAAATTAAAATAACCATGTTCAAGTAGTAGAAGGATGATATCATGCCACAGACCTAACCTGGGTCATGATGGCATCAATCCAAGGGAATCCTGTTCTAGCCTCCCTCCAAGCCACCAGCAGTTCATCATCATCATTCCAAGGTATCTACACGAATTTTCAGTCAACAAAGGTTTATTACATATATGGTAGCTAACAGATGCGAAATCTGCGTCAGTTTCTTAAAGATCAAGTTTATCTTTCTTTTTTTTTTATTAACACTCAGGATATGTGATAAACGTTACTGCTGAAAACTGCAGTTATTTTAACTACTAACAAGAAATATTATAGATTTGTCGCAGACACACGTGCAAAAAAAATAAACTACAGTGCTTCTGATAGATACCCTATCTTCTAGATTTGGCACTCTCTCTCATGCACTTTCATGTATAAATATCAGTTGTCTAAAGACAGTATCCTAATATGGTAAAAACAATTTCTCAACAATATAGAAAAGGATAAGTGAATTTATAGAAGCTAATAGAATGCCAACTTACGCCATGAGTTTACCTGCTTGCATATTTTGTTTCCCCTCATCTGATCAAAACTAGGAGTGCCAAATGCCACCGTGTAGAAAAAGTCTCGCCATAACAACTAAACAGGTTGAGACAATCTTTCAAATTGCTACATCTAGAATGAAGAATTCTCCAAGATACAATATAACTGGTTGAGGCTGACTGACCTGTCCAGCAAGAGATACCGGAGGTACTGTATGCGTTTTGACATTTTTATATAAATCTTTAAGACATATGTAGAAGTATCTGGAAGAGAGACAACCAAACTACCAAAGAGACCAACAAAATGGTGAACACAATGAAACAAGCAGTGAATAAATACAGCCACAATTTCTTTTAATTAAACCCACTTTCAAATAAGGAGATAAAACAGTTGTTGCTGGCTTCAGAAACGCAGATGGATCACCCTTAGGTTTTTCGAATTTGGCCACCCACTCCTACAACACCAATGAAAGAACTGAAAGACTTAAAAACCATCATTGCATGCTAATGAGTTGAACCTGAGGCACAGACCAATGTAATTTACAACAAAATCACATGAGTAATAGGCAGCCATGAACCAGGTAAAATTATCAATATCAAAGGGGAGAATGTTGGTTCATGATAGCAAGAGACAGCAATATCACAGGCGTAGAGCCTAATAAAATTTCAATACATAATTCTGCCTTGCACCTTGTTTTCAATTGATTCTCTTAACCTCTTCAAGGCTTCTGTTTCACCACCTCTAAAAGGAGACAACTCATCCTGCATAAAAGTGTTTTGTTATAAATAAATAAAAAGAGTACTAACAACAAGGAACAATGCAGAAAACGTTCCTCCAAACCTGTTGAGTCTCTTCATAGCCAAGTTCTTTGACCGTTGGAACTTCTGAAATATTGCAATTTCCAATATTCCCAACCGGAGGAAGTGAAGAAAGTGCAATAGAAAGCGGGGACGACGCCCATGAGGGCTCTCCAGCAAGCTTCAGAAATGATTGATAACTCAAAGGTGGCTTTCCCCCATTCTTTTTTGACATCCAGTAACATTAACAGTAGTAGAGAACAGAGGAAAACAAAACTCAAATCCATCACACAAAGATGTAACAAATATCTCAACCATAAAACAATAACAAACTACTTCATAAACTTACCTTCCGTATAATATCTGCGGGATTGAAGAGTGTGTGACTTACAGGACTGTAAATCTCAATGCCAGCCGTAGTGGCATAGCTCTGTCAAAACAAACAAAACAAAACCTCTTCCTGTTAGCACATCTTTAGTTAACAGTACCTTAAAGTAACCCATTAAGATTTTAGCACGATAATTATATGCTCAAATTAAGTAAGTTCACCATTTTTGTTAAAGGTTCAAGCTTGTCAAACCTAACTTGACATGGGCATCAAAACATCATTACCAATTACAAGAAAGAATCTAAAGCTGCATACCTTGACTTTAACATCCAAAGCTTGATAATATGGTTCTGTATCATACTCAAAGCAGAGATTTTTCACATCCCACTGCTCCAAACCAAAAAACCCAAAATTATAAAGCTGAAAAATGTAAAGAATTATGAAACTACAAGAAAAGAGATGGAGAGTTAATTTACCTCCTTCAGGCAACGAATGAGTACCTCGCTGGGCTCACCTTTGAGCACCAACAATCTGGACCCGAGCCTCTTGAGGTTCAAATCCAAATCCCTAAGGCTCTCTAGCAGAAACTGAATCCGGTTCAGACCGGCTTTGGATGACCCGGGTGAGAATGCTTCCGGGTCGGGCTTCATGTAATGCGGGTCGATCACGAACACCGGGTAGAGAAAATTGGAGCCTTTGGAGGCGTACTCGAGAGCAGGGTTGTCGTGGATCCTCAGGCCCTTCCGGAACCACATTAGAGAACCCGAACCCGATGACATTGTCGGGTTTGGATACTGAGAGACGATAGAGAGAGAGAGAGAGAGAGAGGGTTTAAACCATCTGTATGGTTCGCGCGCTTTAATGGTTGATTGGAAGGAAGCGAGGTGTGTCTGACTAACATGCCCGGTGGGTGTAGGTTAAGGAAGAAATGTGGATATTTGGTAGGCCAATCTACGATTTGCGCATGATGCGTATTTTAGAAGGATTTACTTTACAACACATTAGAGCGGTCAACAAGGCGCCACGTAGGTCTTGTTAAAAAGCGAGACTGGTCCACAGGGTGCCACGTTGTTCATCCTTTTAGTAAATTTCAACTCTAATAATTTTATGAAACAATAAATAATAACATTTCGGGTAGTCAAAAACCCGTTAATTTTGAAGAGGCATTTTGAATTATTTAATTTATTTAGATCTTAAATTTTAATGAATTTTTTTTCGTTTTCAACCATTCATGGAAGAATGAATCATTAAATTTGATCACTAAGTGCTCGTTTGACATTGCTTATTTGGGGTAATAAGTGATTTTAAAATAAATTTGAGAAGTCCAACCCGTTTAGTAAACTGTAAGAAAATCACTTATTGTTAAAAATTGTTATGAGAGAAAGTTATAAAGGAAAGCTACTAATAAGGTGCTTTCATTTTTTGATTATGCAGGAATCAGTTTTGAAGGGGCGTTGAGTTTAATAATTATGCCACAATCATTTTCTGATTATGAGAAAATCAATACCAACAATACTTTTAACAAAAAGTTTACCAAACGCCAAACTGCTTTATCTCACAGTTGATTTCTCTCACAGCAAATCTGACAACGATTATTTTCACAACACAGCAATGTCAAACTGGCATTTAACTCTTTAAACTTAACCATTAAATTTTGCATGCATGCAGGAGATGTGAGATGGCAAACAAGATGAGGATGGGTACATACATTACATTACATATATAGATAAAAACTCATATAATCAAGCTCGTATTAAACATCTACCTCCGCTATTACAAGAAAGTAATTTTTTTTTAAAAACCATAAAACCCCCTGTATAACATAAGCATATATAATTTAGTCAGCTAACAAACCAAAAGCAACCACATAATTTCCCCTCTCCGGCATTTCGTCAAACACTTCGTCTGCGAACGCTGAGCAACTTCACGTCATCGATCACCGGACCACACAGAGACCCAGAGTGGTCAGCTGACATGGTGTAAAAGGTGCTGAGGAACATGACCCTGGTGTGCGTCTCCACGGCAGTGAACAAGAGCCTCGCGCGCTTGAACCCACCTTTGCCTTTGGACTCGTACGGGACCTTGAGAGTGTCTTTGCCGGCAAACGCCTCCACGACCAGCGACCCTTCGCAGCCGTTGTTGGAGTCTCCGACGGAGAATGTGAGGGCGTAGAGGCGGCCGGGCTTGGTGAAGACGACTTGGGCTAAGGCGCTTTCTTTGCCGGCGACGAGCTCGATGGCTCTTTGGCCCTCCGGGACGGCGAAGTGATTTGAGTCAATGTACTTGACGGCCTTGAGCGATTCGATTATCCAGCCTGGTAGTGGGCTGTGGTCGTCTTCTATGTGGGGTGGGATTAGGACCCCCCACGATGTATTGGGGAACACATAGGGCCCTTCTTCAAAGTTGCCATTTTTCAACAAGTTGGCTGCAATAGGAAAATAAACAAAGTGAGTCATAATAAATCAAAAGAAAAATGAAGCATATGTGACTATAGTTTCGATATATTTGATTGGATTTGGAACACACTATGATATTAGAAAATTATTTGGGTATGTTTGCTAACTGGGATTGAATTGGATTATGAAACATGACTCGATTCCATTGAATTATGTCGAATTAGAGAAAATAACACTAATTCAATGATATTTGGTAGTGCACAAGATTAAGGGGTTGATTTAACAAAAAAACGCTATTACATGCTGTAACAGAATTAGACATAATTTGATCCAACTTATTATAATCTTACTAGATTTAGTCGTAATAGTGTTACACATAATCCAATCTAAGTTGTTTTTAGGCCAGAAAACTCTACTCAATTGGCATACTAGAATTAGACATAATTCGATCCAACTTATTATAATCTTACTAGATTTAGGCGTAATAGTTTTATACATAATCCAATTTAAGTTGTTTTTAGGCCAGAAAACTCTAGTCAATAGAAAATTTATATTTGGAAACTTCCTCAATGATTGACGTTTTTCTCAACTTTCTCAATGAGTTGGAAACCCATGGGGAATCCACCATGTGAGAGAGTTGGAAAGCAACCAAAAAAAATATTTTTTTTAATGCAATTTTCTTCTAAAATCAACCCATGCATGGCCCAACAATAAAAAAAACACAACTTTCTTACCTCTAGTGCGTTTAGGAGGAGCCAAGACCTTCAAAGCAACAGAATCAATAAGAGGGCCACAAGCTGCATCATCCTCCACACCTGGGTTATGGATCCTAAACTCAAGCTCATCAAAGTCTGCATTAAAACCCCATGCATAAGAATCCCATCCATTGCTGCTGTACATGGTCTGGATTGGAAAGATCCCCCAGTCATTCTTCTCAAGGTTGGGGGAGATTGAGACGTTCAATGTCTCCTCCTGTCCACACGTTCGAGCTGCACTGAACGTGACAGAGTAAAACTTGCCTTTTGTGACCTTGATCTTCTGCTTGACCGAGGCCTCGTTGCCGAGCCTCACTGCAAAGCCACCCTCAGGCACAACCAGCAACATGTCACCTTGTTTTTGCCCTGATTTTATGTACTCAACGTAGCCCGAGACTTCCCAGTTGGGAATGGCATTAGGCTGGGCCACTACTGTGCCTTTGAGGTCTGATTTCTTCGGGCCATATTCGAAGTTGCCGTTCGGTAATAAGCCTGAAATAAATAGGGTAACTGTTCATATTATGCATTCGTTTAAAAAGTTAATTGATGTCATTATGTTCGAATTTTTCCTTCTCTAATATCAATGTTATTATAAAATAAAAATAAATTAATTGATGCCACGTGATCATCATGTGTTGTGTTGACCGATCATGTTACTGGGTTTTTGGACTTTTTGACACTGCCAATAATATACCATCACAAAGATACTGTTATTGGCATTTAGCCAGCTAATTTTTGCTTGCTTTCTACTAGTTTATATATACCCAATAAAATAAAATATTTTGTGATACGGTCATTGGGCATTGGGCAATGTGAAATATCATCACCCATTTGGCCAACACTGAAAAAAAATAATTCTAAAAACTATATTTCTTAGTAACATAATTCATCGTATTTCTCGTGAAAATACGGCGTGTAAGAAATTCACTGACACCTCACATTAGTAATTTATTATTTTAAAATACCCACTTGAGGATATATAAAAGTAAAATCTATATATAATAGGTTGGCCGAAAATAAATTCAAACTCTAAGAGATTATTAAATGTATTCATATTCAAGTAAAGCTCTTATGACAGAAAGTGATAGACAATAATATATGGCGCATGTCGCAGCACCGCTATAAAATATTTGGTTGTCACATGGTGATGAGCTTAATGGTAAATAATCAAATTAAGGTGGCCCACATATATGGGTGTTGATCAAATCTGTCAATGACCTATGGGGACAAAATCCTTACCTAGCTAGCAATTGTCTAGTGCCCAAAATCCTTAGAGTTCGTTTGTCAGTGGTTTTGGCTATTCGAAAATCATTTATGGGAAGAATCACCTCCCACCTAGTGATTATATGAAGAAATGATTCCTCATAAAAGTGATTATTAGCCTATCTAAAATCATTCTCAAACGAAACCTTATATAAAAGGGGTCGTATGAAGGTGTATATACTCATATACACTCCGTTTCAAATAAATTTTACTATCAAGTAGCGGATTCGAACTAAGCACATGAACTAAATGCAAAATTTAAATACTATAGCTCTTGATGATCACTAGATGGCATGATTGGTAAGATCCGAAAAAAAATAGCCAACAAACTATGCTCGATGTGATCATGCAAATACCAAACACATGCAAGAAACTGTGTGACATGTATGTCAACCTTTCGAGCATGTGAAAGGTTTGTGCAAGGGTATTTTGGTCATCAATGAATTAAATACAGCTTCAGAATAAGATGAAAACGATAGTACCGCCAGCGCAGGCAATATAGATGTAAAGTTCCCACCGACTGGATTTTCATGTGCGAAAAAAGATACGGCATTTAATTATATGCAAATCTATGGCTTTTTTTATATTACACAATTCATTTATTTTTCTCGCCAAGTCTTCTTATTTTACAAGAGTAATATTGAAGGAGGGTAATCAAACCTAGAATCTCGGGTGCAGATAAATACTCTTAACTATTTGAGCTATAAATTGGTGCTTTTTTCTCGCTAAAGTAGATAAAATATTTGAAATTATGGCATTTTTCGATATTTAAAATTGAAATACAAGTATAATAACTGAATTGGCAAAAAAAAATTGAGTTAAAATAGCCGTAAATGTATGGGAGAGAAATATGCATATGCCCCCCCCCCACAAAGACTTTTTCTTGAGCAATGACATTTTCATACAAAAGCAGAAGTATATTATTATAGGACCAGACCAGACTAGTTAGAAATATATTAATGAAAACAATAACCTCCTCATGGAGCTGAAGAGGATCTGAATTTATTGCAGAGACCAAGATCAATTAAAAACAACCGATCTTCAATATTTATGGCAGCCACCCTAAACAAACACCAAAAATAAAAAAACTACAATATCAAGTAGATCAAGGAGGCTGCTACATGATATTTGTAGGTGTTTTGAGGTTACTGATTTCAAAAACACTCATATATCTTCCAGGATGATCTCATTTACGCAAAAAATGAGAGTACCTTTCTAAAAACTAACTACACTGTAAATCAGTTCAATGATCGGAACCGTCTATATATAATAATACGTGCAGATCAAAAACCGTAACTAGAATTACGAGAGCTTACCATCTGTGACGAGTGATAAGGTTGTGTGGCAATTACCTGCACACAAGAGAACTAACAGCAGGGTGCTGAGCTTGTTATACATGGTGGCTCAGAGGAGAGAGAGGGTTCGAAGGTTAATTGGGTTTGAGATCAAAAGGGAGTGAGCAGTAGTTTATATACTGCTTGGTGTTGTGAGAGTGCCACTGAAGTTGGACTAAACCACATGAATGCCATTGTTGGAAATCCTTAGGTAAGCACCACCTTCCTCGAAACTCAAAATCTTTATATTACGAAACTCTTGTTTTATTTGGTCCAAAGAAAACCTACCGGCTAGGGCAATCTTGCACAAAGAGACAAGCATCAAACCAGACAGACAAAATTTTATAGTTATCTATTATTAGTAGGTGTTACGATTATTTGTGATTGATCGGTTGGGATCAGATTTAGAAAGCCGAAACAAAAAAAGGGAAGATTGGTTGGAAAAATCTAAATCCAAGAGTATCCCAATATAAGTCACTGATGAAATTTTCTTTCTCAGCTAATAGGGGAGCACGATGAAATGAGTTAGAATTAAGATAGTTTACGAATTCACTTTTGACGTAATAATAATAACGAATTAAACCGTGTTGCGTATTATAAAACAGTAGCGACGTTCAAATAAAAACCTAGTTTCAAACACATTTTTTGGCTAAAATTCGATCTAATTTTTAATCAATCATGTGAGAAATGAACACTTATCCACATAAAAAGTTAATAATAATAATAATAAACTCTTGTTGAGTGTAACCACAGATGTTGTTCTGGCAATATTAATTCCATAGCTCGAAGAATTTAGGAATTTCTTGGTTAAAGGAAACTACTGACATGTACTATTAATTAAGGATGCTAATAATATTTTTGCCTGAAATCACTCAAAGATTTAGAAAATTCCGATCCTTAACTTGGGATTTCAGGCACAACGTCCGGGGGAGGCTCTAGTCTCTAGACAAGCAATTCAAAATCCATGTGTTTTGCAAATAAGTTCGCTTAATACGATGTCGGTTTGAGGGTGACTCATATATAAAACTATATGATATGATCCCAAACCAACTTTGAATCTTAGCATGCAAAGCCACATGGCTGCGGTGGAAACGGTTCCTGTTTTGATATTTAGAGAATTTGGATCGACCTTCACAGAAGGTGACTGCAGTTTAAAAAGACCAAATTACCCTTCATCCATTATATGGATTTGATCGCCATCCAAAAATACTGAACACATACATTTTAGCAGTTACTCTTGCACCTGAGGTCATGATTGTACATAAAAAGACTAAATTACCCTTCACTCGTTATATGGATTTGATCGAACTCATGCACCACCTGAGGTCATGATTGTACATAAAAAGACTAAATTACCCTTCACTCGTTATATGGATTTGATCGAACTCATGCACCTGACATCCTGTTCGAATCTCCCCTCCCTAATATATCGCTTGTATAAAAGGAAAATAAAATTCAGACCCATTATTCGTTTATCTTTTTAAATTTGTAGCTCGTGGGAACAATGGAAAAACATCAGAATCAAACAATGCCCATTACATAATCAATCAAAATTCAAGAGGGGTTTGGGAAATCTTTTAATTCATCGGATCTTGCATATCCTTTTGGCAAGTGGAAACCCATGTGCAAAATGGCATCTTGATTGAGTGTGTTTTCATTTTCTTAATGCAATTACCAGCCAAATTATTACTTTATGATTTTTCCTCTTGCTTATGTTCTTCTGTGGTCGGCAATAATTTAATAGTTTATTATGGCATCTGTTGGATGGTGAAGGTTGGGAGAGGAGGACATGCAATATGGATGGGAATAAATGACATGGATGCAAGTTTGGGGTACAATCAACATGGATGCATGTGTACTGAAGTGTGTTCCAATCAACTCGAGTGATCAGGCTGTATGTGGTGAAGTAGACTGAAGAAGGAGACTTGTGATTTGAGCTCAAACAACTGTATTTGTTAAGAAAATGTAGGACAATGGCCTTTACAAAAAATTAGGTTTCTAAGTTGTCATACTATTAGTGTCAATCTCCAATCTAAAACTCAAAATAAAAAAGTTGGGTCCAAATTGATGGAGGATAAAACGTATTAATTTGTTTTTGCTCCGATGTTTTGGAAGAGTTGGGTTTGCCCATACGACGTAGGAAAAATGCTATAAAGACCATATTACTGTATCACATTGTGTATCAACCCTCTAATAGAATGACCTACTTGTATTAGCGCCCCTACCTCTATTTGTGATGTGGTACAATAACATAGTCTTCTTAGCATCACTCAAAACGTAGAAATAGGTTTGGTAACTTATTTTGAGGTGTTTGACTCCAAACTCTTCGGGCTATTGAAGGGTGATTTTGACTCAAATATCCATTTGGGTTTATGGTGATTGGGTATGGACTGATGATGATGGCCTAGAAAGATTGGATAACACGTGTCACTTTGTGGACTTAGGGCATTTCCAGCAGCGCCCTAGGGCAAGGGCTAGGGGGGGGGGCAAGAGCCCAAAACGAGGTTCCAGCAAGGAAGGCTAGCCCGGGCAAGTGGTGGGGTCCACGAGCCTGGGCTGGCTCGAAAGGGGAGGGGGCACGAGCGACAGCCTGTGGACTGGATGACATCATCGTGCTACAGTGACACTACAGTGTCGCCAACAGCTCTCTGCCAAGTGTCGCGTTCTGGGCTCTCCGATTAGAATTTTTCCTCCAATCCAACAGCAGCCAATTTTTGTGCAATAAAAAAATGAAAAAAAATCGAAATTTTTTTAAAAAAATACCCAAAAATTATGTATTTTTTTTCTTCTATAAATACCTACCAAAACTCTTCACTTTCAACACCAAATCCTCTTACATTTTCTTCTACTTCTACTATTATTCACTTTTTACTCAAGTATTGACAAGTACGAACCCAAAAATTTTATCCGAAAATATTGTCCAAATTAATTGTTTAGGTAAACAAATTTGTGAAAAAAAATAAATTTGAATAGTACTTGCCCTTTGTCCGGGCAACTGCTGGAAGTGCAACTTACTTTTTGCAAGGGCAGACACTATTCACATGAATAGTGTCAGCCTTAGCCTCCCCCTTGCCATGGCAAGGGTTTGACTGCTGGAAGTGTCCTTAAAGATAACAATAACACCCGAAGCTAGCTTAGATTTATATGCGTAGAAAAACTTGTATGAAATGAGGATATCACTGTTTTGTTATCTTAGGTCAATCACAGACTAGTACATGAAAAAGTAATTACGCGTGGCATATTGTGATTGGCTGAAAATAGCAAAATAGTGTTATTCCCGTTTCATGTAAGTATTTCTTATATATACGGCCTGGACGTGTAGTTATAATGGGCCTTAATGTAATTGGGCTAATGGGCCACCAATGGTCCTTAGCACAAGAACTCTCCAAAATAATTGTCTGACTTTACCTCAAAGGTCACTATGTCTAATATGTCCGCATCTTCACTGTCGATTTCGGTTGACAAAATTGGTACAAAAATATATAAAATGTCGGAAACGTGCTATAAAACATGTAAATTATGTGCGAAACTTCTGCATACTCCGAAACCAACCAATAATGCATCAAGTGTAACAAAGAGAAATAGACTTATTTGTAAAAACTTATTTAACTAAATCTTCATTATTTTCAATAACAATCAATATTATATAAAAAATGACACCTAGAAAAACTGGAAAAAGGAAGTGCACTTAAAGTGGCATCATTAAAACCTTGCCATGAAAACCCCAATGGAGGAAAATACGGTCAAAGAAAAAAAGTACCCCATTTTACATATTCCGGTAATATTGGAGTTATGTAAAAACTTCGGTGTTTCACTTGCAAAATATAAAGCTACAAATTCTTTGCGTCCATCTAAATTAAATACAAGCAAATTCTGGTAGAGTTTACCATAAAAAAATTCTTTCAAAATCTCACTTCAATAATTTAACACACATTGACTTTAACAATAACTTACTACAAAGCCTGATGCTTTCCAATATTTTCACAAAATTATCAAAATTGAACTTCAAAAATTGTGACGGAGGAAGGGGTTTCCAATCATCAAATTCAACATTAATTTCCATTACCATCCAGATTCAACCAAAATCTTACAAAACTAAAAAACAAAAAGGAGAAAATATCAAAGATCCAAGTTCCAAATCACAAAATCATAAAATCATTATATTTTCTGATTTTCATTTCGACAAATTTCAATATGCCAAGTGGCTACATAGCCAAAGGCAAGGACTAAGTAAGTAGAAGCCGGCCTAATATCGCCGGAGAACAGCAACCGCCGGCGCTCCGGCACCACCGTCTTCTACTGATTTCGCTACTGGTCCGATAAATCGGAGGCGAGGCGAGACGCGATGGCCGAGTGGTACATGATATCGTGGAATGCGGAAGTCTCCAGGGTCTTCTTCCGGAGCTGCTTCGCCTTCTCTTCCGTGAAGCACCCCAGCGCGAATCTGGAGCCGGGTCGCGCCGGGTCGGTCCCAGAAACCGGATCGTTGTAGCGGGAGTTTAGCGCCGGATCAGCGGTGATGTATTCTGCCGGGTCGGACGACCAGCCGAAGAGCGGGTTCCACCAGCTGGAGGAAGAGGGCTTGCGGCGATTCGGGTCGGGTCGCTGGGATCCGGAGGCGTTGGGACGGATCGAAACGGGTCTGAAAGACGTGAGAGGAGTTGCCATGGCGATGGTAGATCACAGATTCACAATGCAGTGTACGCAGAAGGAGGAAGACAGAGAAGGGTTTAAGAGAAGATGGAAATATGGAAACTGTGGGAGAGAAAGGTGCAGTGGCTTTTTGGGTTTTGAACGTTTGACAGAGATGACTGATTTCATCTTCTACCGGCTGGACTTCCATATCTAGGTGAAGCTTGTGCTTTGAGAGTTTGTACTCGAAGATATTTTTGTGTTTGCAGAGAGTAAGTATGGGTATAATGGGAAAGAAAGTACAAGAAATAAAGGGGATTATGAAATGGGGTTGTAGGTGATGGGAGCTTGGTGAGGGAAGTGGATAAGATCGGACACGTGGGAGGATGTGTCGAGTGAGTGGTCTATTTTTCCTATTTTTCATTAATTTTTATTGTTTACAAGTGTACTTTTTCTGGTCTTTTTTGACTTTCAACTTGAAGGGGCCTGTGTGATGTGGGTGCTAGTTGGATGCACTTTCTGAAGATAAAGGCCGAGGGGGGGGACCTGGCAGGGTGAACAAGTATGAGATATTTTCAAAGCAATTTGTTCTTATTTCGAAGCAATAGCCCAATGGGCTTTGAGAGAATTCAACAAAGCCCAATTTTTACCCAATGGGCTTTGAGAGAATTCTTCTTGGGGATTGGAAGAAAATTTAGAATTAAAATAAAATCACTCAAAATTGTTATGTTTTAATCCCATCTTTCAAGTGTGGGGACACTCATAGTATTTAGCCAAAAAACAAAACATTAAGTATTTCACGTCATCTACTGATGTGGAGAGATTATTTTCAAAGTTGATTTAATGGTGAGAATATATATATGGGGGCGGATCCGTGGCACCACCAATTTGACACAAGTTTTGACACAATTTTATAACCATTTGATTAGGCTACAATGAATGGTTAAGATTAAACAAACTGATTCTTTTTCTTTAAATAATTATTTGTTGAAATTAATTTTAATTAACTTACTATAATATTTTATCTCTCTTCATTTATGTTTTCCCAACTTCCTAAAAGCATTAACATTTTCTCTCACGTCATCTTCTTCTTCATGCGTTTACTTCTGTTTTTTTTATTCTTCTTCTTTCTGCCTTTGACAGTTTCTATCATTAACAGCACTAAACAAGTAGCTCTTCTCCCTCCCATATTTCACATGTTAGCCATTAATTTTTTACCCCTAAGATTTCAATCAATCTAATAAATAAATGGTATAATCTAATTCTCTGAGTATGAATTTCTTTTTTCTGATCCTGTCTTTTTATCGTTTGGGGTTTGGTTCAACTACTGTCTTTCTCTATCTTGCAGCAAAATTTGGAGAGGTTTATCTTGCAGTCTTGTATGTTGGTTCTTTTGTTAATTTCTTGAGCTTTGAGTCTCTAAATCCTTGGATTACTTTCTATTTAAATTTCTTTTTCCTCTTACATTTGTGGATTTCTTAATGTCTTTTACCATGAGAAGTTCAAGTTCATTCTCAAACAGTTTAGCATCTAACTGCAGCAAAAAGTATCCATAGCTTCTTAGCACAATTAACATTAAGATTTGAACTCATGACCTCTTGAAAATGTGAAAATAATGCCTGTAAATTAAAAAATAATGAACTAATTTTTATAATAAGTTAATTTTTTCAGAATAACAGAGTTAATTTTGATAAAAAAAAAGAATCATCGAGTTAACATTACTAATTAGTTTTTAAAACCACTTTATTTTTAAAAAATTGGACCTCAAAACGAGTCTTATTGAAATGGTGAGGAATCTAGAGACGTCGTTTTGATTTGTTTCGAAACCAAAGCCAGGACGCACCGTTTAGTACTTCAGTGGTCGTAGCCACGCAATCTCATCCATTCCCTGTTGAAACTCTCTCTTCACTTGGAGCCCTCACTTCCGCGCCATCCACAGCTCTCTGCTTGTGCGCCCACAGCGCCATCCATCGCTGCTCTGCTCAGCTCTGCTCAGCTCAGCTCCACCAAAATTCTCTCACTGTAATCCCTCTCTCACCTTCGTTAGGGTTTCACAAATTCATTTTCCTAATTTTATTTAAATTTTTCTTAATTTCTCATACTTTAGCTTTGCTGTTCCGTTGCTAGGGTTCTTTGAGCACTGGGTTCGCGGTTCATATCGCATATCAGGTAATTTTACTTTTAGTCCTTTCCGTCCTTCGGTTTCAATTCACTTTGTCTGTGTTAATTTTTCATTTGAAATGTAACATGCCATCAAAGACTCTTTGTTTCCACCTACTAATTGAGATACTTGAGTTTGATGCAATTTTCTTCTATCTTCAAGCTTCTGTTAGCTTCTCTCTCTGATATATATATGTATATTTATGTGTGTGTGTGTCTCTGTGAATTTTTGTAGGTTAAGAATGTCCTTATTGTAAGAAAAGTGCACACATCCTTCCTAGGGCTAGGCTACCCAACAATTTATTTCCACAATCCGAACCATCTATATTTTAGGTTATCTTAAGGTTACCCTTCAAAAAATCATCCAGATGAAAGTTTTTTAGTCTTAAAAAATGTGCAGAAAAACGCAGTTTGTTAGATAAATTTGAATCGTAAATGTGGATAATTAAATGTCTAAACAGTTTCTGATTTAGCTGTTTTTTTTTGCATGGATAATCGTTGAAAGAGAACCTAAAAACTGAATGGTTCCGATCATTGGTTTACAACCCATAAATAGGAGAATAGGGACATTCTTACTATAGAAAGCCTATATATAAATATTTCTACTGTTTTGGTTGTTCATTTCCGTAAATCTTTCATTTCTGGTGTGTGTAACGTTTAGTTGTATTAGTATAGCCTTTGAGGCCTTTAAAGTGAATGCATTCTTATCTACTGCTGCCATCAATCTCAAGAAAACGAAAACAAACATTTCTTCATAAGAAAAAAAAGGGGTTGGTTTGAGATCATTTTCATAAGTTAATTAAACCCAGTGATGATATGCAGTTTTATGCTATGTGTCGGCTTCTGTTAGCTTCTCTCTCTGATATATATATGTATATTTATGTGTGTGTGTGTCTCTGTGAATTTTTGTAGGTTAAGAATGTCCTTATTGTAAGAAAAGTGCACACATCCTTCCTAGGGCTAGGCTACCCAACAATTTATTTCCACAATCCGAACCATCTATATTTTAGGTTATCTTAAGGTTACCCTTCAAAAAATCATCCAGATGAAAGTTTTTTAGTCTTAAAAAATGTGCAGAAAAACGCAGTTTGTTAGATAAATTTGAATCGTAAATGTGGATAATTAAATGTCTAAACAGTTTCTGATTTAGCTGTTTTTTTTTGCATGGATAATCGTTGAAAGAGAACCTAAAAACTGAATGGTTCCGATCATTGGTTTACAACCCATAAATAGAAGAATAGGGACATTCTTACTATAGAAAGCCTATATATAAATATTTCTACTGTTTTGGTTGTTCATTTCCGTAAATCTTTCATTTCTGGTGTGTGTAACGTTTAGTTGTATTAGTATAGCCTTTGAGGCCTTTAAAGTGAATGCATTCTTATCTACTGCTGCCATCAATCTCAAGAAAACGAAAACAAACATTTCTTCATAAGAAAAAAAAGGGGTTGGTTTGAGATCATTTTCATAAGTTAATTAAACCCAGTGATGATATGCAGTTTTATGCTATGTGTCGGAGATAAAAGGTGAAGAGATTCACAAAGAAGGTAAAAGAAAGTAACTCAATTTGGCTGATTAAAGATAATATGTACAAAGTTTAAGATATACAGTAGGGTAACGAGTAGTCTATCTTAGAATGAATTTGGAGTGGCGCTATCGCCATCCCAAACCATATTTGCCAGCGCTATGGCCCAGTTTTTACAAAAATAAAAAAATTACAGTTTTATCTCTATATGAAATTAACTAAAACAATAATTCATTAAAAAGCCTGACTTTTTGAAAATAAAACATTGAAGGAGTGGCCCCGGTTTCCCATGTCTTGGGTGCGGTATCCACCATGGCATGACCATTTCATTAATTTCCAAAACACCTTTGCGCCAGAAGAGTTTTGCCACATTATGGCATCAAATGTACTGTTCTAATAATTGGATTTTCAATATTGCTATTCTAATATAGCTGTTCAAGAATTACTTCATATAATTTATGTAAACTTCAATATATTGCATCTAGCACTACTTGGTTCTCTAATTTCTTTCATCATTCCAAGGTGCGGTATCCAGGAAATATGGTTGTTTGGCACCCATGACTGGTAGCGCCAAGTAATGTGCCACCACCAGTAGTGTGCAATGGAGGATGAAAAAAAAGCTAATGGGGGTCGGGCAGTGCCCATGGCTGCTGTCTATCTTATTTAGTAAGCATTGGGGTTAGGGCTAGGGAAAAGGGAAGAATAAGAAGAAGCAAGGGTAATTTAGGATTAACGCGCCGGGGTGGGGGTGAGGGGGTGAGATGAATGGATTAGTATCTTTTTATTATTTGAACGGGTCTGAGTGTATAGAGAGGGTGGCAACAGCGCCACTCGAAAATTGTAAGTTTAAGAATTATAATTCATAGTTCTAAGAGATCATGAATGCAATTAAAATGGATGCTGGACAGAATGAGAGACAACATGGAAAGGGAAATATGACAAATGTAAACCATTTTTACAAGGTGGCCCAAAAAGAAGGCGCGGTGAATAAAATATAACAACTCAATAAGAGGAAGGGATAGCTTTACCAACTTTTAAAAATAGTAATATAATAATAACAAATGAGGCATTAAATACTTGTAATAAACTTCAAAGATGAGATAAGAAGGGAAGAATGTAGCGAGAGGGAAGAGGCTCTTGATATCTGGGCCTTGTGTAGGTTGACCAGTCCTTCTATCTCCATTCACTGCGTGATC